CAGGCTCTGGGAGGAAACAACTTTATTTATGTATACGTACAAATAAATTTTCTAAGACACTAAAGAGGACGGCTAATAAGACACAGACTCAAATTATATTAAAAACCTAATTGGGTGGAGGAGTGTCTTTTTCGTTTGGAATCTTGCTTTAAACAAAAACAAATTCCCAAGCATAATCCACTCAACGTGTAGAAAAACTAGGGTAGGTTTTTTCTGACATACAGACCCTCATTTTTAAAGTTATTATTGATGTATCAACACCAAGATCAAAACATTTTCACATCTCCATAGATGGGCCTATAGCAATTATAGACGCGATTTATTTCGTAAGAAACAAGATAATTTGTTGTGAGAAATATCAAACTCTGGTTCTTGTTGTAGAGCAAGTTGAGATAAAATCTGACCAATCACAGGAGCTAGTTTAAACCCATGACCTGAAAGAACAAACATAAACTAGAATTATTTCTATTACTTCAAATTCTCAAGCGTTTGTGAAACTGTGTCCTGCAAGTGTTTGTCATCGTAAGAAACGGTGTAAATAATTAATTAGCATAATTCACACATGTACTAACATTATTAACATAATTCACACATGTACTAACATTATTAACAGACGTAACTTAATGTCATCTTGCATATCTGTCGAGGGTAATCCAGTTATTGTAACAATGAGTAAAGCGTGGCCTACTACCATCACTACCAACATTAACACAACCACTACTACTAAGGATAAGAAATGCAATAGCCTCCCCATACACTTTCTGACGGGAGTCAGTAGCCCATGGTGACCTAAATTTGTGATTAGAATCGCCATTCTTTTGTTTTGGCATAAATATGTATTTCCACCCAAAAGTCCACAAATAGTGATTTAGACAAAAATGAACTCATGGCCCCTCAAATCTTCAGCTACATTTAAATATACATTGGTATGGAACCTTTCGGCCTAAAGCGAACCTGAGAATCCACAACCGATGACGATATTTGGGTACTGCGGATGTACATCGAGGATGGGATTATCGGTGGCAGTATTCTAAAATGAAACACAATTATTTATTTCGATTACAATTGTCGAAAAGAAAAGCACTCGTGTATTACAACTGGCTAAAACACTAAAACGAAAACATTCGTGAGATTAAAATAATGAAAGAATCATAATCTATACACTTTATATAGCCACGTTGGATTTTTCGTATTTCAAAAAGTTTACACTTACCGGCCAAGTTTGGTTTCATTATGAAAAATCCAACTAGTAGGCCTATTTATATGTAAACATTTGGGATATCATTGTGGATAGTCAGCTTACCGTGTACATACAGGTTTCTATGATACAAGGTTTGGATTCTATTCCTTCAAAGTGTTCTTCAACATATTTTGTCAGCAATTCAACATCTTTCTGTGGTGTATCACCATTATGCACATCACGATAGTCTGGGTCGATTTCTACATCGCTTCCATGAAAGCATATCTAATGAGTAAATTTAGATGGAAATGATAAAACAACAGAAAAGTTTGTATATTTAATCAGAGATTTTATCAAGTAAAAGTATAA